TTTTTTAAATAATAATAATAATAAAAATAAATAAATAAATAAGAATTTGAAAAAAAAAAATATTATCAATTTCGAATTTTTAATAATACACACATAAACCAAAATTATCATTTCCAAATATGCTCTGGTCTCATCGCTACTTCCATTTCCCATAGAAAGATATTGTGGCGAAGCAGCAGAAAACCTCATAGAAGCTGGCCCATGAATATTTAAATGGTGCTTATCTCGTAATTCTTTAAGTGTATTCAAAATTGCATCTGTTGCTAATATGTGGTTATCATCTTTCATTGAAAATGAAAATTCTACCGAAATTACTTTAAAATCATTAACAAACCCTTTTTTTAAAATAAAAAATAAAATAATTAATGAATTTAATAAAGTCTTTTTTAGCCCAATTCATTTAACCTACCATAACCGAAAGCATTATAAATTAATTCATAGCTATCGACAACTGGATCTTTGTGATATTGAGATCTCAAAGCTTCTTCATTGACAAATGGTATTATAGCTGGGAACAGGTGCAATAACAAATATAAAGCCCCACCCACATCAATGCTCAAAACTTTTGATACTTCTTCTACCACAGGTAATGAAATAAATTCTTGAAAGAGTTCCTTGATCCTAGGTTTTGGATAGTTTTTTACGTCTTCATTTGTCGCCAAATCTCTTAAAGTAATCAAAGCGTAATCTGTATATGGGCTTATCCAAATTTCAGTATTACGGAATTTCAAATAGGGATTTGTGGAATAAGGTTTCTGTTTTAAGATAGTTTTGGCTTGTGTCCAAGTAGTTTGCTCCCTTCTTTCTATAACGTTATACAAGGGAATTGTCCAAACAGTCACTTCATAGGTCACACCAAGAGCGCCAATAGTTACGACAGCAGCATTAAACGTTGTATCATCTTGGATTAAAGTTATATTTGGAAATTTCTGACTAAATTTGAAAGGATCCGTGATTCCTTTTGTTGGTTCTACTTTATAAGTTTTGTCTCCTTTGAAAAATAAAAATTGTTAAAAAAAAAAATATTAATAATATTCGAATATGAACACGTTTTTGTTACCTGGAACAACCATTAATACAGAAACTATGAGTGAGCACAAGGGTGGTAGTTTGATGCCACTACCGTGAGTAGATGTTGCATTTATACTATAAAATAAGAGAACATAGGAATGAGTTATGACCGATATGGTATATAAATTTTCAAAATAAACCCGTTTCAAAATTATTTCTCGTTTAATATCGACGGTTTTGAAAAAAATAAATTATTTTCTGAAAGTCAATAATAAACGAGGAATTAAGGAATTAATTTGATTAACGTTAATAATTACCCAATGACATCCTGTCCTTTAAACAAAAAATGAAAAAAAAATCGTTTTTTATGTTAATAAAAAGCAAATTACAAAAAAGCCTAATTAAAAATTTTTTATCATTGCATTTACCCGTCCATCCACCAACGTTAAAAAAAGCCCTGTTATCTTTTTTCAAGACGGGAAGAATTTCATAAATCACAGTTCCCCACCTCACATCATAATATACAATATCATCTTTTTGAGCTTGAGATAAAGCTTCTTCATTTAATATTTTCAAATCCGTTTTTGTTACATAAGAATTTTTCTCTGGTTTTAGAAGGTATCCGTTTGTTTCTGTTACTTTACTATTTTTAAAAGCAAGCTATCGTATAAATATGATTTATGATTTTTTATATGCAATTAAATCATGTGAATATATATATATATGTTGCACCTAAAAGCTGCAAAAGATCCAACAGCTTTAACATTTTTATTTTCTTGAACAGAATTTTTCATTATATCAGTAAGTTGTTGGAATGATTTGATGTCTACTATATCAGATTTAAATTTAACGTTTCCAGCTCTATTAATCGCCACCTCTACAAGAAATAATCATTTAGAATGGAAAGAATTTTATATATCACTTAAATATTATCAGTTATAATAATATACTAAAATCAAAGTTATAGTATGCGAACCTTCTTCGCCTCCAGTATGATCTTTATTCTCATCAATAAGCTTTTGATGAGCTTTAGGCACGAGTTTTCCTAATGATAA